TATATATGTATATATATATATATGTATATATGTATATATATATATATGTATATATATTTGTATATATATGTATATATATATTATATATGTATATTAGATGAAGACTTTTTCTGTTTTTTCAGAGTTAATTTAATAATGTTGTATTCACTCTCACCTAATACTGACTACTAGTATTACAATGACTATACAGTAAATGTTCCCCACTAGATATCTGACCCTCCTTCTCTAAACCTACCTGAAATATGCTTCCTGACTCCTGAGATACTAGGATATAATTCAACAAAGCTCCTGATATATACTGTATTTAGTTAGCTATGTCTCTTGATAATGATACTATTACATAATATACTGATTAACAATAAGTAATAGAGTATATGAAACAGTAATTAATATTTCCGATAGGAGGTAGTGTTTATTAATATTTCCTATGGGAATAATTCTATATGTACTGGTACTGTACTGGGTATTTATATAAGCGCAAGCTAAGCCTAAATTATTTAGGAAAACAGTGGCTGGCATAAAATTGTTCATCATTCAGTAACCCCATGCATCACAATAGTACAGGCTCACAAACAAATGCCAAATAATACTGATTACAAAAATGAAACACAAAAAGGAAATGCAGAAGAAAGTAACAGTTGGCAAACAGGTATAGGTAGGTATTAAAATTCATTGAGGGAAAGTCTGAGACTCAAGTTGTAACAAATGTTCCCATCATTCCACAATGCCATGGTCTGAAATGAACCATAGGATCAGGAAAACACCCTACTCTTCCAAAAAATGCAACAGGTTCTTTAAATTGCACACAAGCCAGATGTGTTTAAGACCTTATCTGAGACGACTTGGTTCTACCAACCGAGCCATGGATGAGGAGTAGCTCAAACCAGTACCGATAATAAAGCTGTAGTTACCGGTACTTCGCCTTACATTCATATTTATTTCTATCCGCTCAACTAATAAACAAATGCCGAAACCAAGAAGACAAGCCCCTATACAGATTCCGGTACTGCTTACCGCTCGGTCTCTCGACTCACCTCAAAATATAAATGTTAATAATAATAATAATACAAAGCGTAAAAATATACACACATTTGTATTGAGCGTGTTATGAATGTTCAAAATGTTAAGAGTGTCTTGGGTCTTGCTATTGCTTTAAATAGCAGGATTTTTCACAAGCACCAAAACAAACTCAATGCAGGCCCAAGCCTCATTAAGAGACAATCATAAAATTATGGTAATATGAAAACTGATAAGCCATCTTGTAGTTTAAGTGCATAGTGACATATGGGTGATGATAAAGGTCAAGCTTATAAACAAGAAAATAATGGGTACAATACTGCAATAAGAAAAATGAAACTGTAATACAGAGTTTGATTATTGTAGTAGTATTCAAAAACACTTTAATATGCAGATACCGTTAGTTGGCTATTTATAACTTGACTTTTATTGTAGTCCTATGAGCATGTTATAGCGTATAATTGACTATGAATATTTATTTCAATTGATTATTAATATTCATGATGTGTATGAATAAATTATTTTCTAGGCATGAAGACCTCAAGTCAATGCTTGATAGTAACAAGGATGGTTTAAAGTTAGAAGCAATGAAGCGAATCATTGGAGTAAGTTATTAATTCAATGTAAGAAAATACATATTAAAAAAGTATACAGATGCTAATTGAAAAATGTTCCTGTTATGTGTTATTATTTATTATTTTTGTATTATTAAATTGTTATTTAAATTATTGTTATTATTTATTTGATTTAGCATAGAGGAATGATATCCCTTTGTTGTCATCATTGAAGAAAAATATTAAATAAATATGATTTTTATTGTTTATATTATGTATTGTTTTTTATTTATTATTATTTTATGAATTAGGACCATCATGGATCCTCCACTGCTTAGCAACAATGACAGAAGCAATTCAATATTTCATAATGGTAGACTGAATAAAAAGATCATCTTTGTAAATGTGATATACAGTAATAATAACTATTTACCATGTGATCTTGATGTAATATTAAAAATATGATTGGATTCACAATCATATGTTAGAACATGTGATGCCCATTAATATATACACATAAGACACTCCCGAGCTATTGTAGTTAGTATGGATCTGTGGTTACGTCAAAAGATAATTAAAATATATTGTATTTGTAGTATAATGGTAATTCTTGGCTCCCAAAGTAAATACCAGCAGTGATTTTGACAACAGATCCCGTCAATGATGGTCATGTGTCTTCCGAAGAAGATGGCTACTAGAACCGTAACAGTCGCACATATATCTTTGCTGTGTGTTAACTATGTCTATTTCTGTGCAATTTGATTAAAAAAAAAAATTATATCCTATAAAATCCAAACAGGATACTGGAGAATGTATGATTTCAGATGCAAATCCTTGCATTCCAAAGCTTAAGAAATTGAATGCTGAGGAAAATATAGTACTAATATAAAAAAGTATTTGCTATAAAATTGAAACAGGATAAGGGAGAATGTATGATTTTGTCAGCTTTCAGACATCTAAATCCTCATATTCCAAAGTTTAAGAAATGGAATGCTTTAGAAAAAAATATTGCACCAAAATAAAAACTGACTTGCAGCTGAAAAAAGTGTGTGTTGTTTGTTTAGAAATTTTATTTTATAGTAGTATAATAGTAAAGATTTAAATTTCATACATTACACTGATATTAGGCCAAATGTTTAATTATAGATTTAGCTAATTGAACAGTGTTTTGTTTGATACAGATGCCATTGTAGCAATGCAAAGAGCTATTCAATTTGTACGCACCATTGAATCCACACAGATTCTATTTTTTGTGTATAGTACCATACTGGCATTGCATAGACTTTGATCTAATTTATGATATTGATTTGTTCCTCTTCACAGTGTAGTAGTAGCTAGCCTCATTAGCATACTGTAGCTCAACTGGGTAATTAGCATAATCGGTAGATACTGTAGCTACTAAAAGCTAGCCACGAATATATTATGATGATCACACATTTTTGTAGTAAATGTAGCTTCCATGTATTTACTTTTACTTATAATAATGCAGAATAAAACTTAGTTTAAATAAATGTTACTGTCTAGCAAGGACACTCAATTATAGGATGAAGGTAATTCTATTTAGGCAACCAAAACTTTAAAATGATTGTGGCCAATTAGGTTTTTTTTTTGCTATAGACAACATGGGCCTACTTTTAGTATTCATTGTCAATCATCATTAATTTTGGGTAATAAAATGGCAGCTGTAGAGTAAGCTCTGACTTTTGGTGGATCATTTTTGTTTTTAAGAAATACTTGAGGGTGCTTTAAATGCTCTAAACTTAATTATATTACATTTATGAATAAAAATGAATTAACTTTTTATAAATGTCTGTTTTTTCCCAGATGATTGCAAAGGGCAAAGATGCTTCGGATTTGTTTGCTGCAGTTGTTAAGAACGTTGTTTCCAAAAATATTGAGGTGAATCTTCTCAAACAACCAATCAGTTGATCTATCAATCAATTAATTAATAAATTAACCAATCAACAATTTAATAAGTCAGTTTAATCAATCAATCATTATATTTCTCTATTTATATACTTAAGTTAGCAACAAAATTTTGAATGTTTTTATTTTTCATTTCAGATTAAAAAGTTGGTGTATGTGTACCTAGTACGATATGCTGAGGAACAGCAAGATCTTGCGCTTTTGTCCATAAGTACATTCCAAAAAGCTCTAAAGGTAAATTTGTTATCTTATTCTATTTCTAAAATTATTTAAATGACAAAAAGTTGATTACTTCTCCTTGACTATCTATTTGGCTAATAATATATCTATAAACTTACATTTGTCACTCAGAAAACTTTAATTTTAAACATATTTTTAAGAGTAATCTGTTTTTTTTTTAAAACTTTATTTTAATCTGTGAACGAACAACTAGAATTTCAAACCGTATATTTTTCAGTATTTGACAATAAAGAATGAATTGAATTAAATAGTATTTTACATTTTAAATGATTAATAATTAAAAGGCCATTTATTTATATTTATATATAAGTGTCTAATAAAATCAATCAACTGGTCAATCAATCAGTCAATAAATAAATCCAACATTAAATCCTGTTGTTTTAACTTGTGATAATTTTTTTCAAATCTTTACTTTCAGGATCCCAATCAGTTCATCAGAGCCTCAGCCCTGCGTGTATTGTCCAGCATCCGAGTGGCAATAATCATACCCATTATGATGCTTGCCTTAAAAGACAGTGTGACAGACATGTCTCCCTATGTGAGAAAGACTGCGGCTCATGCTATACCTAAAATGTACAGCCTAGATCCAGAACAAAGGGAGCAACTTATTGAAGTTATTGAGAAACTCCTCTCAGATAAAACCACAGTAAGTGACCTCTCATCAATATGCTCTTGGTAGATGTGTTTCTTGTAAGAAGAAGATATTTATTGCATTACAACAGTTTTGGATATGCATACACTATCAGAGGCCACTGTTGGAAAATTAAGTAAATTTATCATTGTAGGCTCACATACCTCCTCCTTCGAAAACAAAAAACAACATTTGGTCTGGCATTTTAGCTACTGCATTTTTTTTTTTTTGGATTATACCAAAATACAGGGCTGGAAAAGTGTACAACTGCGCGACCGGCGGTCGTAGGCAACATGACTGTCCCAGAGGCATTTTAGGGAAAAAATAAAGAAAAAATTAACTGTTGTGCTATATAGTGTACAGATAACAATATTGTGATGGAGGCATTTTATTGAGACAACTTTCATGATTGGAGGCACACATATTTTTTTTTCCAGGCCTGCCAAATGCCTTGAAGTTTGTGTATTTTACTTAATGTAACCAGCAAGTCCATCACTCCTGAAATTCAGCAGTACTTAGCGGGATATCGTGAATAAATAATAATATAGATAGAAAAAAGATTTATTTTTAGAGATGTAAAGAATGCATTTGTCATGTGTTTCAGTTGGTAGCTGGTAGTGTTGTAATGGCTTTTGAAGAAGTTTGTCCCGAACGAATTGACCTGATTCACAAGAATTTCCGCAAACTTTGCAACCTTCTAATTGATGTTGAGGAATGGGGCCAGATTTCAATCATTAACATGTTGACTCGTTACGCTCGAACCCAGTTCCTAGATCCTAATAAAGCTGTAAGTAACCTATAACGTTTTTACCATACCATTGGATTTATTGTTTCTAATTTCTCATTTATCTAAAGACAGGTTTCCATAAAACCACTACACTTTTGCTACAGCAAGTACTGTGTAGCTGTCTACGATGCAATCAGGAAGGTTCCTAAATTCGTTGCTGGGAGAAGTTGAACCAGTTTCAAACTTCCCGATTTGTCATTGACGAAACACAACCACTGACCAATCATCTGCTAAATTTACTACACATCAAAGCTTCTCTTCAATGATCAACACATTTGATTTTCTTGTGTGATGATTTTGTTTTTCGATACTGAATATCAAACAAACATTTTTGTTGTTTGTATGCAAGAGTATTCAGAATTTAAAGATATGTAGAGAAAACTAATTTAATATCTTGTGAATAAACTGTAAAATTATGTACAAATGAAGTTTTACATTATTGGTGAAATTACAAATTTGATTAATTTTCAAAGAGCTGTATGAATTATTTTTTCATTCGTCGTGCATTTGTTGCTCACTTTCTAAACTCAAAGGACTACATCCAAGAGGAGAATGAGAAATCTTTCTACGGATCAGAAGATGATGAAAAGAAGGAAGAAGATGACACTGAGGAAGGGGAGAAGAAAATTCCATACGTAATGGATTCTGACCACAGGCTGTTGCTAAGGAGCGCTAAGCCATTGCTCCAAAGTAGGAATTCAGCTGTAAGTATAGCAGTATTAAAAAGATACTGTAATCACATTAGTTCTGTATTTAAGATAAATTGATATTCGAGTGACGGCACTTACCATATTTATCATTGTCACTGTCATCATCATTAGCCTTGTTTACAGGGCCGTTTGCTATCAGATAGGTAACACCAATGACCCCCAGTCGCATGTCTACACGATAATACAATTATTGGTTGTACCAGGAAGTTGCTGCTTGTTTTAAAACCCTTTGTCAAAAAGTTTAAAAATGTATGTAATTAATAAAAACAATTTTTTCCTAAACATAATAATGGTATTCACGCTGTTTATTAACAGCGACTTTCACTGATGACTCATACAAGTCAAACAACCGCTAATTTTCATAAAGATCACGGCCGATAATCTCTGTTAACACTGCTGTTATGCTGAGGTTACTCTATAGATCATCGCGGTTACTGATCCATTATGCAGAGTTACTTACTCCGTTTACACGGCCACTTAACACCTATATTAACGGATAAATTTGATCATCATGGTGATCTCCTGCCATGTAAACAAGGCGTATAGTAGTTGTCTATGAAACTGCTCAACTTCATTGTTAACATCAGTGAACATTAACATGATTATCATTAAAATTATTATTAAAATTATCATTAATAAATTAGGTAGTTTATTTAGCTGCAAATCAAAACACCAATTCATTCGTTCTCCATTTTATGGTAAGGTAAACAATATGATTATAATTTGCATGTAGGTTGTGATGGCTATAGCTCAGCTCTATCATCATATCGCCCCAAGGAGTGAGGTGGGCATCGTTGCCAAAGCACTTGTTAGACTCCTTCGAAGCCATAGGTAATACTCATTTTCTTTTTAAAATTTTACCAGTTTAATTCAAATCTGTATTTATTGCACTAAATAAGGTATACTGAATATGTATATAACAGATTTAATATTATTTTGAAAAACAGTAAATACTAGATTTTACTAGCAATTTAAGAGGCATAAACTATATATTAGTTTATAATTTTATTTGTCTTATCTTAATTGTCTTATTGAAATCCAACAATGTAGTGAAGTTGTGCCCTTTCTGTCTCAGGATCAGGCCTGAACCCTTATATGATTTATTTATAAAATTAAAGTACACACCATGCTTGTCTCTATTACAGGGAGGTACAGTCAATAGTGTTGAGCAATATTGCCACCCTCAGTGCCAAACGGAGGGGCATGTTTGAGCCGTATCTCAAGAGTTTCTTCGTGCGCTCAAATGATCCGACCCATATTCGACTTCTAAAGCTGGAGATATTGACCAATATAGCTGGCGAGACCAGTATTTCTACTATACTTCGAGAATTCCAGGTTATTACCAAACAATTGATTTTTATAGGAATATTTTAAACACTTTTAATGTGGGAAGACACATTTGTTATGCCTACTAAGTTAGTATTCTACTGGGCCCTAGTCTAACTCATTTTACTAGGCCTCGGCTAGCCCTGGGGATAGTCCAACCCATGTTTATCCTTTCCCTTGGATAAGGAGATATTTCCTAAACTTGGGCCTTGCTTAACAAAACCGTCTGCCTTTACAGATTTGTCCATTATACATTGCAGTAATGAGTCGATAGCATGAAATAATTTTTTACAAGTGAATGACAGTAGAGTAGTATGTGTAGTGATATTTACATGAAATTTACACTAAATTCTAGTTAGCTGACATAAGCTATTGATCCCCGATACCTAATATACTCATAAGTGTTGCATTGCAGCTTTTAAGGTTATTTCACTGCTTGTCATGATATCATATTCTGCTTATTTGATATCTGTTGTCAGTTTTCCTAATAGATCAATGTATCATGTCTATATTCATCAGGGACAAATAAGGACTTTAGTTTTTCTCTCTTGTAGGTATTGTTAATGATTATCTATAACTACTATTTGAAATCAGATTATAAAAAAAAATCCAATATATTTAAATGGTACATTTCTTTTCAGACATATGTAACTAGCTCAGATCGTGATTTTGTGGCTTCTACCATTCAAGCTATAGGGAGATGTGCCAGTAACATTAACGAGGTCACTGATTCATGTATGAATGGTCTGATGGGTTTGATGTCAAATAGAGATGGTAAGACAGTCGTTATGAATGAATAAATGAATAGATTAACAGATTCATGTGTCCAATTTGTTATAACAAAGAAATATATAATGATAATGTATTATTAATATCAGGATTGTTGCTACCATCAGCCAATACAATATATAATACAGTAATTAGTGATAGTAAAACATTTTCCATTCAAACACTCGCTTTGAAATATTGTAAAGCTGTAAAAACTTAGTTGTAGTTTTTACATCATGTTAAAAAAACGACTGGAAATTGTAAAATCGCAAAAATAAAAGGCCAAGAAATATTTCAAATTGTAAAAAATTGCAAAAATAAAGGGTTGCGAAAACAAAGGGCTCTACAGCATGTAGAAATAATTGATGAACACTATTTCAAATTATTTTTGCAGAGGCTGTTGTCGCTGAGAGTGTTGTTGTGATTCGTAAGCTTTTGCAGATGAACCCAACAGAACATAAGGAGATTATCCGGCATATGGCGAAACTAGCCGATGCTATTACAGTAAGAAAAATCACATTACTCTTAGTGCGTTGGTACCATAACAACCAAACGAATACACCCCTCTTCATAATGCCATAACCACCTTGCAACAATCTTCTGACTCATCTTAACTAAACCACCAAGTAAAAACATCTTTTCTCTGAATGCTTGTGTTAGAAGTGAAAAAAAACTTATACAATAACTTATGATATTTACAGTACTATATATATATATAAAATAGAAGGAAAGATTTCTGTCCTAATATGTTTCTTACGTTGGCTTGTAGATCCCTATGGCAAGGGCTAGCATACTGTGGCTCATAGGGGAGTACTCAGAACATGTGCCAAAGATTGCACCAGATGTTCTCCGCAAGATGGCCAAGAACTTTGTCAATGAAGAAGACATTGTCAAGCTGCAGATTCTCAACTTGGGGGCTAAGCTGTACCTGACAAACTCAAAACAGGTAAGATACTATAATTGAGTGAGGTGTGATGCTTTAGCCGATCTGTGGTTGGTCAGAATTTTAAACAGGTGTATGACTCAATGTTGTCTGATTTGTTAAGCCTGGCTCTATAAAATTGATGCACCGTTCCTGCAGAGTTTTCACTGCAATCATTGCACATGTTTTTTTTAAATATTTACCATTTTCTTCTCTATCAAAGACCAAGCTTCTATTCCAGTATGTTCTAAATCTTGCTAAGTATGACCAGAACTACGATATCCGTGATCGCTCAAGGTTCTTGCGACATCTTATCTTTCCTGGAGAAAAAGGTGGAGCTCTCAGCAAACATGCAAAGAAGATCTTCTTAGCATCAAAGCCTGCACCAGTCCTAGAATCGGTTTTTAAAGGTGTGTTTTCATTTCTTGTGTCTCAATATATGTTTGAAATAGTGTCTACCTGTTTTTATTAGGCATCATTCTACATGAATAGTATGGTTATACGACAGTATTAAACAAACTTCAAAGAATATGATGCAAGCCACTATGTTTCAATATTCCAAACTTCATTAGGTCATCCTAGGAATGAATAGTATGGCTACTAAAATGATTTTATTGAAATATACAAGTGTCTCTCCATCTTACCATTTGTGGATATGAAAGGATGAAGCAGTAAATGTCTAAAAGGTTTCTATAACATTGTGCGTAGATCGTGACCAGTATCAACTTGGATCACTTTCCCACGCTATTAATGCCAAAGCCACCGGCTATATTGAACTGCCCGATTTCCCAGAGGACGCACCTGATCCAACTGTCAGAAATGTTGAGGTAAGAGAACACCAACCTTTTGAAATTTAGGTGTATTTTGCATTACAACCTTTAAGGTATCTTAAGCTGGGCATTGGCACTCACATTTTTCTGATAAACATATTTCTTGATAGTTAATTATATGATAGGTGTATGTCCATTCTTTATCTTCAGTTTTTTTTTTATTCTTACACACTTTAATTCCCTTTACACATTTTGTTGTGCCTGATTAGAATGTATTAGCTTTTTTTATATTCATTTATAGGAGGTTGTAACTTGGTCTAAGTCAAGGGACAAGGGTAAGAAGGCAAGGAAACCCAAGTCATTTTACTCAAGTAGCTCTGAAGATGAGGATGAAGATGAATCCAGCACAGGTATTGTAGCTATAAGGATTATCATACCAACAGTATAACATTTGGGAATTATAGGAAAGTTCAAACAAACTATATACTAGTGGATACATACTATCAGGTGTGGCTTCAGATATATTTCTTCTACCAAATTCTATGGCTATCCACAGCTGGTTAAATCAAGTGTTCTATCAGTGATGTCTGAGAGACAGAAATCTGATACTATCTTGGAACAATATCAAGTAGATAATATCAGAGTAAATAGCAATGGTTCCCATATGATGAAAGTCTGCAGTGTATTGACAATAAAATCAAGTTGAAGGGCATATTCCCTCTGTCGCTTCCTGATACTACATTTCCCAGGATCATTTGCAGCAAATCAATGAACTTTTCTCTAAAGCTCTATCCACACTATCAAATTTTCTTTGACAAAAAAATGTGACATGCCCATATATAGTAATGCTATGCCTATATATGGTCATGGTGTGATGTCATCATACCCATATATGGGCATATCACACTTTTTTGTCACACAAAATTTGATAGTGTAGACAGAGCTTTAGCCACACTCCTTGGAAATTGTTGCTAAGGTCCGACAAGATGACAGTGTTAAAACATACAAGTGCGTCTGTGGGACAGCATATGTGTTTGTGATACGCGCGCATACTCTTAGCGCTGTTTTGATTGGTCAGTTGTTAAGTTTGATCGACACACTGGAACGATCTATTGTGGAGAGAGTATAATTTTTTTTTTAACGTATAATTAAATGATAGCAATTTTGATACACAGATGAAAGTTCCAGTAGTGAATCAGGCAGTGACTCGCAATCCGGATCCGAGTCCGAGAGCGAGTCAGAAAGTGAATCGGAAAAAGGTAGCGATAGTGACGACAGCAAATCATCGATGGACGAAAAGGAATCATCGGAAAGCGCCTCTATCTCCGAAAGTACCAGTTCAAGTTCAGAAAGCGACAGTGATTCTAGTATTGAAAAACCTGTACATAAAAAGGTACATATATTAGGTTTTTTCTTGTGGCAACTACTTATATTACTTCTACCTAAGTTAAGGTGGTCATTTTTGCTAAACATGTTACTATATTTATTTTATTAAGCCATCACCTACAAAAAGTAAACCAGCGAAGAAAGAACCAACACTGTCAAAGAAGTCTGCTTCCAAGAAGAAAGAACCTGAGATGCAGCTTTTAGATTTTGGCGATGACTGTAAGTGTGCTAATGGGAATGTATGCCAGTTTTGTTGTATTTGCAGTTACAAATCATCAACATCATTAACAATCCTCATTATGTTTGTTAACATCATTATCACTATTTGATAATAAATATCATCCTCAACATCATCAGTGCCATCATCTTCATCAGTAATATCAACATCATGATCATAACTGTTATCATATTCTTATCATCATTGTCATCATTATTTTCATCGTCATTGTCATGTTCATTGTCATCTTCACCATCATCAACAGCCATTAACATTTCCATTATCTTTTTAACTAAGTTTCTGTTAATCATTGCATACCATTATCCTTATAAATATAAACATTAATCTTATTTTCTGTTGTATTACATTAGTTGAAGCAACAACACCAACACCAGCCGCTCCTCCAGTTGCCATGAATTCTGTCTTGGTACCAACATTAGCAAGTGATCTACAGGGCTTATCTCTTATTGATGATACTGCAGGCATATCTGTAAGTC